ATTTTGTCTTTTTTTGTACTTTTTAGCCAAAAATCTAAAATCAAACGAAACTATAACTAATTTTTTTGTGTTGAGACTTTTTTAGCCTTGTATGGTTTGAATTTTTGACTTTTTTTAATTTTATAAAAAAAAAATGTAATAATTAGAATTAAGATGTAATATTTTTCTTATTAATTAATTTAGCCTATTTTTCATTTTGTGCTTTTTAAGTCTAAAAATAATAGCCAAACCCCAGGGTTGAGTATCCTAATTTTTTTCGTTTTGGCTTTTATCTATCTTAAAAAATAAATAAATAAAAAATAATAATCTAACAAAGGGCGGCTTAAGAAAATATTAACTTGACTTGTTATTCATTTATTTATTTATTTATTTATTTATTTTTGTAGAGAGTGAATCAGCCTTTTGAAATCCTCGATGGAAAAAACCCTTTTGAACGCAACCATTTTAAAGTCTGACCGTTTTGTACCCAATTTGAACCATAGTTGCTTGAAAAAATTGAATTTAAACACATAGTCGGACTGGAAGGTCCCCAATTGATTTCTCAGAAAAATGGCCGACGCAGCGAGAGAGATATTTATCGTATTTCCTGACGATTTCAAGAAATATATGTACAAGGGACCAACTGGTTGCCCTTGTACTTTTCTCCTTTATCAATAGATTTGTGTGGAGGGGTTTTCTGGAGCCGAGAAGACGACAAACCCCAACGTCCTTCTACTCTCCCCGACGGCGGTGAGTTACTCCTATCTCTCTTTCTTTATTTTTTATGATTATTATTTTTAGATTTGAATATTTATTTATTTTATAGTTTAGTCGTTTCAAGTCAATTTAAATCAATAATGATTTCCTTGTTTTTGAAATCAATCCTCTCCTGAAATTTGTTTGTTTTTATCAGATATTTCCAACTTAAACAAAGAAGATCAGAGATTGCTTTCCAAAATTACGCACGATGTCTTATTTTGTTGGTTCTCCGGTACTATTCAATTTTGGGCACCCATAACAACAAAAGAGGCCGGTCTTTTCTTACAGCTCGAAACCAACCTTTCTCTCTATTAACACCATATAATAGTCGACTTGCTATTGACGGACTTTGTGGGTATAGGATGATCTGTATGGATTCTAAATTTGACATTGATTTGGATGGGGGAGGGATAGATTGCTGAACAACACCTTCCTGCCCGAGTGTTCATGCATCAATGCTGCGAATCCACTCCTAATGTGGAGTTTTACTCTATCACTGAGTAGCCACAGCGTCACGATGCTCTATGTTGCGGACTCCGACAATCTTTGGCTTTCCCAGTCTTTGAATCTTCTACCAAAGGTGTGTTGGCGTAATTGAAGTAGTGACACCAAAGGAACACCTTAGATTACTAATTTGTCACGACTATTTCGGTTCGGAATATATCAAGATTTTGAGGTTAGTTCCCCACTCATTCCCAAATTGGCATTTCAATATCTTGTTAATATTGATTACTCATTACACTCTCTCTCTTAGAACAGCTAACAGACTACAGTGGTGTGTTGGTGTGTTTGTTTATGTAATAAGTTGGTGGGGGTTTGCCTGTTCAAAGGGAAAAAATAATGCTTTAACGCAAATGTTAAACACTCTCTTAAATTTGTCATGTGTTTGTTAACTATGCTTGGAGGGGTTAACACACAAAAGAGTAAACACATTTTCATTTTTCTAGATCATAAGTGTTTTAAAACACTCATGTTTGGATGGCAAGAACAATTCAATGACGCATGATAAGAATCTTATGTCAAGTCTCTTTCATTTCGTTGTTTGGATGTGTTCTAAAATGAAGAGTGCAATTCCTAGTTCGGTTCCCAAAACTGGAATGACATTACTACACCAAGGTAGTGTTTTGTTGGTTGGAATGATTGTAGGCTTGAATAGAATGGCTAGTAATCTTTGGCTTTCCAATAAAATGACCATTCTCCTAAATTGGAGAATATGGTGATTTCATTACAAATTTCCAATGTATATTCTTTCTCTTTTTATGAACCAAACATGGTAATAGGTATAACGATGGACTGAATTTTTCCATTATAGAGTTTTCTATATGCCTCCTTTTATTTGCAAAATATTATTCTACATTTCAAAGTTTACGAGATTCCTCAGTTGTATCTTTCCTTTCCCTTGCAGAAGTTTGGTCTGAAATGTTCAATTGGATTTGCTCACGAGCACGTGGAATTCGTAAGTGGCAAACTATAATGCAATGCCAAATTTGGTTTTTTTTATTTTTCTTAAATTAATATGGTGAGGAATATTTGCTCACTAATACCTGATGTGACAATCCTTCAAACTAGGATAAAAGGATAAAAAGCGAGACTTGGATGAAATCAAGAACGTGTTGAAAATGGTATGTGATGTTCATGATGTACCCTTTGCTCAGGCATGGGTCCCATGCAAGGTATGTTGGCCACATAGGGCTCCTGTTGATGGTGGCATCCTTCGTGCAAGTTGTTATTACAAGAAAGATGACTATGGTGAAGATGTAGATGCTTTTCATTATATCAGTTCTTTGTTTCACTTAAGAATGAGGTGGGGGTTGTTGGGGAGAGCACTTTTGTCCACTAATATGGTATTCTGCAGGATGTAACTCAACTTAGCCTAACTGAGTACCCATTGGCACACCATGCACGAAAGGCTGGATTAAGCGGTTGTTTTGCAATATGCTTGGAGAGCAATTGCATTGGAAATGATGTTTACGTGCTAGAGTTTTTTATGCCGAGAGCAACAATGCCAGTGAAAATCCACATACCTCATTAAGGAAAATATTGGAAGCAATTGAAGAAAAAATTTCGTCGTCTTAGGGTTGCTTCTAGAGAAGAACTTGGGGAAGAATTACATATTGAAGAAATTAGTATTCAAAATGGTGAGAAACTTGATCCTGTTCAAATCCCCCAAACCACTATATCTTTGCCTCAGCTGGAACTCTCACAAAGTGAAGTTGAGTATGCAAGTGGATTCATCAGATCAACAATTAGTGAATGCCATAAATACTGGAAGCAGTGTTGGCGGTACAGAATATAAAAACTTTGCTATTACTTGTACGCAAAAGAAAGCACAGTAAAAGTGTCAAAAAAAAAAAAAGGCAACAAATCTGGAGGCATAGTAAAAACGTCAAAAAGAGATGGCAAACAATATCGGAGTTAAAATTAAAATTCTACTAGAGGATATCCTACAAAATTCAGAATTGAGCCTTGAGAAAGCTGCAAAAAGCCTCAAAGGTATGCTTGCACCTTCTTAAATTAAAATGTAATTTTTACTTTGATGTTTGGTAGTTATTTCAACTAGATGGACTCTTGTCACGCCCCACTTTTATTACTCGAAGCCATTACCAAATTCATTAACTTAATTCAATTTCAGAGATAACATGCGGAAATAAACTCATACATTCAATCCGTAGAAATGAATATAAATACTCTCATTCGTATGCAAAGTAAATGTTACATGAACATACTCAATAAATTGCCCTTGGGCTTACAACCTTAAGTAAACAAATGAAGGGGGTGTAACCTTTTACACATATGGTGTTCCGCCAACAACAAAGAGGCCCCGTGGCCAACAAATAAGAAGATCCAAATCCTGTAGCATAACCGCTAAACACCTGAAAAAGATTCAACAACGTGGATGAACATAAAGTCCAGTAGGGATCTCAACATGATCTCAACAATAACAACTTACAGATAGCTATGATCATGCACACTCATTCTCGTACTAGAATAGTAATATGACAGTTTTACAAAATTATATATATAAAATTTTCTTGAAAACAACCGTTTCATTCAACGCTATAAGCGATTCATCTTTCCTTATTCCTTTATTAATCCCCATTCCCATTCTTTCATAACATTAACATTACTTAGGAAAAATATTCTCACTAAGCCCGATACTCTCTTCCACTTCCTATACATACACAGATGTACCTTTTCAAATCATGTTTATCGTTATAAAACATTCATCCTCCTTCACACTCCCAAAAGAAAAAAAGACATTTTGGTTCATTTCCACTACTATCATACCTATACATGCATAACCTTGTAAAATATAAAATTTACAACCCACCCACATGTATACAATCAATCAATGGTGTAACTCGGTTCTCCGAACTGGAACCAATCAAAGCTATGATATTTTCAGTTACAACTAAACAACAACAATTCCACTTTGCCAACTAGCTATGCGCTTAGTAAGCCAAAGATATACTGAAATAACTACAACCAACTTCGCTCTACTAGCTATGTGCGTAGTAAGCCAAAAATACCAGTTTTACCAGGCGCTAGCTGGAAGGGTATGGTGCCTTCTATTATTAGTGCATACAGTTCTCCAGGCGCTAGCTGCAATGTAACGGTACCTTTGATTATAAGCGCGGCATATAACGCCAACAACAACATGCAACAAGGCATATCCAACATGTATAATGCATATACATAACCAACAAGAATCTAAACAACAAGTTGAAGTAGATAAACACATAGGTGTAATGTTATACACAACTTCAACACAACCTGTCAGCGTGAGTACTGGGAAGGATCCTAGCTTGATCCAAATTGGTTCCACACTATCTTCGGCACGAGCGATGTCATCCTCCACCGATGACCAAGGACAAAACCTCTAGATGCATGTATATTGTACATCTATTAACAGATTCAAATATCATGAGATCATCAACTTATCACTAATACTAACATAGTAGTATAAGATACAACAATCCAACATTCATACTCATTTCAAAGTACCTTTCCCATTTCACAAAACCAACTCTCTTTATTTTTCAAAACCGGTTTTATTCCTTTTGTTTTTCACAAAATCAAATCCAATGACAAAAAAGCCAAAGCTCATTTTAATCTACTACATTCATCTCCAAGCCATTCCAATTTAATTATACAAATTAAATTATAATCACTAAAATAGGATTTCCCTCCCCTTCTCCCAATATGGATAAAAAGGTTTAATCATCTACAACAAACAACAATGGCTTCATTCAAAACCCAAAATACCCAAGTATTTACCCAATGATCAACACCCCTCTATTGAGTTATTAAACCAAATAAATATTAGGGTTTCCTCTCCTTACAACAACAACATACTAATTAACACCCAATTAGCCCCAAAACACATCTAATGATAATAGATCTAAGTCCAACAACTAACCCAAAGTTCAACCTCATGAATTTATACCAAAATCCAAAATAAAATGGTTTTCATGCAATACAAAAATTACCACATGTCTATCTATAGACGTAGTATTGAAAAAGAACAAGGAGAATCCCTACCTCAAAGGAGAACTCAAAAGGAGATGATGACCCGAAATCAAAGTGCTCCAAATTCACAATTTTTTCGATTAAGACGAAGCCCTCGACACCCTCTACCTTTTTAACAAAGAACCTAGGATGGATTCATACTAGAAGGAGTTGAAATTTAGAGAGATAATAAGTTTAGAGAGAGAGACTCTCGGCTACTAGGGTTTCAAGAATGAAAGAGGGAGAAAAATGATCTTTTTCCCCGCTGCTGCCTACTGAAATACGATAGCCTCGCTCGAGCGAAGACAAGCTCGCTCGAGCCAAGAATTCCAGTGTTCAGGTCCTAGTTCCAGACGCAATGCTCGCTCAAGCGAATCCACCCTGGCTTGACCCACCAGACACAAAACTCCACGCTCGCTCGAGCGACAAACCTCTCGCTCGAGCAAAGGACTAAAAACCTGTGCAGCAAGCACCTGCTCCCAATCACACCCAACCTGGAACGAACAAGTCCAAAACATTCTATAACTCAAATTTAAAGAATTGAAGGACAGAAACAAGTTCAAAACAATAACCGGAATCCACGGAACTAAGTCCAGATACTACAACCAAAGGAGAAAGAATCGGGATCGCTATAACTCTTCTGGTAGAGTATATATTGAGCTTTTTGTAGAAACAAATAGAAAGTAAGTTCTCTTATTTTGATTTTTCCTTCGCAGTTAGCAAATCTGCATTGAAGCGTGTATGTAGGACTTTTGCTATAGAGAGGTGGCCACCTCGCAAGATAAACAAGGTTGGTTGCTCTCAACTTGATGAATCTGCCCCGTGTGTTAATTCTGATCATCTGCCTTCTACTCAATCCTCGGTTACTATTGTTCACACTGAGCCACATGATAAAACGATGCAAGATGCCAATATTGTGACTATAAAAGCAAAATATGGAGAAGGTATTACAATGAAATTTCATCTGTCTTTGTCATCAAGATTCGTACAGTTGCAGCAAGAAGTGGCTAAAAGGCTAAACTTAAAGGCTGGAACTTATTATGTCAAGTATGAAGATGAGGACGGTGAGTTGATTTTAATAGGTTGCGATGAGGACTTGCAAGATTATATGTGCGATTCTAGATCGCTAGGTAGAAGTTCTATTGTGGTATTGCTTGAGCAAAAGTTGCCAATTACTGATCATAAAAAATAAAAAAGTTGCTAATTATTCACAGAACAACTTGAATCTTGCTAAATAAGCACTTCCTGTTAAATTGGCTTAACTTTACCTAGTGGGTGTTTGGGAAGTTGTTATTTTAGTAGGATATTTAGTTTTTGACTATTTTAATAGGTTAAAATTTTTGTATTTGGAAAAATATACTTTTTTGTAATTGGATGTAATGTTTGTGAGAAAAAAAGTGAAATGATTATGGGTTTGAGGTGAAATTTTATTTTATTAATTATTTTAATATATTTTGTCATTTTGTAGATTTTAAACCAAAAAATCAAAAAAAAATCTTTGTCAAACACCCCTAATGTAGGTAGTTATCATGGTATTTCTTCTATTCATTTGCTAATTTACTTGAAGATGTGCATTTATCCCATTGGTTATTACTCTACCTTAGGGTTTTTTGATGTGAAATTTTTTTTTTTCCGAATGATTTGGTGGTAATGTTTCCCCAAAGATCAATAATAACATTTTAAAATTTGGATAAATTACAAATATACCTATCGAGATTTGTTTAAAATACGAATTGTTTCTTGTGATTTTAAAAATTACAAATATCTCTTTGTCAGAATTTTTTATTTAACAAAATTAATTGAAAAAGTGAAATTTTTAACTGTTCACCTATATAATAATAAAATTATCTGAATTATTAATTAAAATAAAATTTTAACATTATTAAAAATTGTTAATTAACTTAATAATTTATTAATAAAAGAACTTATTTGTTATGAAATTAGAAACTTTAAGGAACATAATGTAATTTCTAGAACTGTAGAGAATAATTTATAATTTAAATAAATCTCAATTTACCCTTAAAATTTGTTTATTTTTATTTTGGCTAAGGTTTGTCTCCGATTCACTGGTGCAATCCAAGTTAGGGGTGAGCATAAGGTTAGTGACCCAACCAACTCAACACTGACCTTATTAAACGGAGAAAAAAGTGTAACTATATTAAAATTATAGGATTATATATATATATATTTTTTTTTTTTCAAACTTAAGAAAAGTTAGTGTAATTTACCCATTATAATATGGTATAGGGTAAATTCTAAGAGGTTAGTTTAGTGGGTGCAACTTGAGACTTAGGACTGTGTTCTTTTTTAGTCTTAAATTCAACTCTTATTAAGAGCAATTCGTTCTTTAGAGCCATGCTTACGAACTCTGTCTGAAATTTATCCGATCTACGTGAAGGGGACGCTTTGCGTGGATAAATTAATCTAGATATTTGGTCAAAAAAAATAAAATGGTATAAAATATTAATCATAAGTTAGCCTGGATATTTGGTCATAAACAAAAATGGTATAAAGTATTAGTCCGGGATATTTGGTCATAAAAAAAATGATATAGAGTATTAGTGAAGGTATGCATAAGTTAGCCCGAACAATTAGCCATAAAAAAAAATGGTATAGAGTATTTTTCTTTGTTAAATAAGAGGGAAAAAAAAAAGGGAACTTTTTTGATAAATCCATTTTCTAAGAGCTTTATTCCATCCAACCCATATTCTTTTTGACTATTCTATTAGGTCCAATTTGAGATAAGAAAACCAAAATACCCTTTTCATCTATTTATGTTTCATTTAGTTCACATAATTTTCTTATGTTTCAATAAGTCCTATGGGTGACATAATTACCAAAATACCCTTAATGTGAATATTCACACCGTCAATACAAATGTTTATATCGTCAATGTGTAGGGGCCCGGCTCATGTCGATCCTCGTAGGTGCCCGGAAAAATTCGAGTTGGGCCGGGTCCACAAGCCAAAAAATAGGCCCGACCCGGCCCGTTGATAATATGAATATTCACATTGACAAGTTAACATTCACATTGATAGGAGTGTAAAATTGGCCTACGGCCCGTGGGCGGCCCGAAACGAGCCCGTCGCCCGAGGTGGGCTCGGGCCGGCCCGTTCACAATATGAATATTCACATTGACATATTAACATTAACATTGACAAGAGTGTAAAATTGGCCCATGACCCGTGGGTAGCCCGAAGCCCCCGGGCCCGGCCCGGCCAGGCCCGTGGACAATGTGAATATTCACATTGACATATTAACATTCACATTGATAGGAGTGTAAAATTAGCCCGCGGCCTGTGGTCTGCCTAAAACCCGCCTGCGGCTCGTGGGCTGCCCTGGACGGGCCCAGCCCGAACGGTTGATAATGCAAATATTCACATTGACATGTTAACATTCACATTGATAAGACTATAAAATTAGCCCGCGCCCCGTGGTTGCCCGAAACTAGCCCACGGCCTGTGGGTGGCCCGGGGCGGACCCGGCCCGGCCTGTTGACAATGTGAATATTCACATTGACATATTAACATTCACATTGATAAGAGTGTAAAATTGACTCGTGTCCAATGGGCGGCCCGGGGCGAGCCCGGTCCGGCTCGTTGACATTCACATTGATAAGAGTGTAAAATTGACTCGCGTCCAATGGGCGGCCCGGGGCGACCCCGGTCCGGCCCGTTGACAATGTGAATATTCACATTAACATATTAACATTCACATTGATAGGAGTGTACAATTGACCCGTGGCCCGTGGGCGGCCCGAAGCCCGCCCGCTGCCCAAGGCGGGCCCTGCCTGGCTCGTTGATAATGTGAATATTCACATTGACATATTAACATTAACATTGATAAGAGTGTAAAATTAGCCCGTGACCCGTGGACAGCCCGAAGCCCGGCCCTGGGCCGACGCGGGCCCGGCCCGTTGACAACGTGAATTTCACATTGACCATGTTAACTTCACATTGATAAGAGTGTAACATTAGCCCGCGGCCCGTGAGCGACCCAAAGCCCGACCGCAGCCCGAGACGGGCTTGGGCCCGTTGACAATGTGAATATTCACATTGACATGTTAACATTCACATTGATAAGAGTGTAAAATTAACTCGCGTCCCATGGGCGGCCTAAAACCCGTGGACGGCCCGGGGTGGCCCGGGTTTGGGTCCGGGCCTAACTCGGGCCGCGGGCAAGCTTCGGGCAGCGAACAAGTTTTACACTCCTATCAATGTTAATGTTAACATGTCAATGTGAATATTCACATTGTCACGGGTCAGGCCGAGCCCGCCTCAGGCTACGATCAGGCTTTGGGCCGCCCACGGGCTGCGGGCCAATTTTACACTCCTATCAATGTGAATGTTAACATGTCAATGTGAATATTCACATTGCCAACGGGCCGGGCCCGCCCTGGCCCGAGGTCGGGCTTCGGGCTGCCCACGGGTAACGGGCCAATTGTACACTCTTATCAATGTGAATGTTAACATGTCAATGTGAATATTCATATTGTCAATAGGCCGGGCCGGGCCCGCCCCGGGCCGCCCACGGGCCGTGGACGGGTTTCGGGCAACCACAGGGCGCGGGCTAATTTTACACTCCTATCAATGTGCATGTTAACATGTCAATGTGAATATTCACATTGTCAACGGGCCATTCACATTGATAGGAGTGTAAAATTAGCCCGCAGCCAA